CAACTTTTGTGCTACTGAAATGGAATGAAGTCGTATGGTTTCCACACATTCAGGCACAGGCAGGCATTGATCTAGTGACATAATTAGGGTCACTCGGGTAGATACCTGAGGTTCCCTGGCAGGTAAGAAATACATTCTAGTTCTATTATCTTTCTTATGGTGTATTTGTGCTGTTGTGGGAAAAGAACAAAGCTCACAGGATTTTCTGTAATGCAGCAGCAGTACTGCTGTACTGCTATAGCCTGCTTACAGATCTTTCCATTTGCACAGTCTCCAATTTAGAGACTGGGAGGAAAGAAAGGAGGATGATTGCTTAGAAAGACTAAAAAGGGTCCATGAAACAAAAGGGGGAAAAAAAAGGCCATTGTTTAATTAATTAAGGAAAACAATAAACATTAGAATAAACTTATGAGGCCAGCAAGTGCTTTCTCTCTTACATATATTGCTTTTCATAGTATATTTCTTCTTCTGTGACTGAGTGAATGTTTTCAATATTATTTGAAAATTCAGGAATATTGAATGTCATGTAAAGTTACAATACAGGAATAAAGGAATTCTGTGAGATGAAAGAGAAATCTAAAAAAGAGAGAGACCACAAGCTCTAGCACATGAAACAAATATTTATTTCCTGAGAGACAGGCCTCTGAAATAAATATGTATCTGGCTGGCATTTCTTTGTGTCTTATTCAAGCAGAATAAAACTAAAATTATCTCACAAGCCTATAAGTTGGCCTGTTGTAAAACATAGAAATATAGAAGGGATTATTTCATATGTGAATTTTCATTTGCTTCCTTTCCAAGATACAAAAGCATTCATTCTAGTTGCTGAGAAATCAACTGGTAGAATAAATCCTTTAAAAATAGAAGACATTTCCATTTAAATATTTTTCAGACATTTTATGATATAAGTGAAGTACTTTAACCAGGGGGAAATCCAGTTGCTTAAACTGACCTTGGAAAAACATTACATAAGATGGCTAAAAATATCATTTGGGATGAAAAGCTGTAAATGAATTAACTCTGAGAGCTTTTAGTGCTGGAGCAACAGTATCAATATTGAAGGAAAGTATCTAGTTTAAACAAAATTAAAATTTTATAGCAGAGTTAAAACCTATGATCTGTCCTTTATAAGTAACTGTGAGCCTTTCTTTACACCTTGGTGGTACCATGAGTAAGAAAAGGATGACTGATTTGTTTGAAACGGTCTAATTTGCTTAGTGAAATATACAGGGGCAAGGCTTGCAAGATCAGATACAATTTAAAGAAACCGTGAGACAAATAGGCCTCGTAAATTCATAAATGTACAATGTCCTACCCAACTTGGCACTCGGTGGAAAAAGCAATGGCGATCACTTTGGAAAGAAACATCTGGGAGCATCGTTGCTGCTGTTTTGCTCCTACAACCACTTTGTGTTTTGTAACAGAGCTTGATGATCATGAGAGGACTGTGTTGTCAGTTTTGAAAGCCAGTGTCTTACACCTCCCTGGACAGCGTACTCACCACC